AAAACATTTTTATGAAACTGTAAAAAGGTGTTTTTGCATTTTAGCTTGTTGTAAAGCCCTATTACTGTATTTAAAAATATTTTAAGATTGGACCTTTATATACTTTTTTCTAAGTACAGAAGAAATCAGCAGTTGTGTTCACTGTGTGTTGTTCATAAGATTAGGTCACTGTTTCATGAATTTGACTGCCTTCACCTCTCAGAAATGCAGGCTGTGTATTTATTGACAGTTATCCTGTAAATATTAGGTTTTTTCTTGAACTTCCAGCCATTGCCTGTTACATAGAGACAAATACATACAGTACTTCACAATATCTGTAGCTTGGCTTTTTATATAATAAATATATTTAAAAATGGAAAAAAAAACCAAGCCACACAAGAAACCTTCTGTTCCTAAGACATTCCATCTCTTTCATCCCCCAACTCCAGTGTAGAAATTCACTAGCTTGAGCTCATATATTTAGGGAGAAACGAAAGGTTTGGATCCTGAGCTGTCTTTTCCCCCTCTCCTTGCCCCTACTTGGGTGAACTTAATTTTATATTGAGATTTTTGGGGTGCTTAGCTTTATTTTGTGTTTTATTTGGAAATATTTTATATATTGCGCTTTTTTGTTTCCTTTTTCCTTTTTTTTAAATAGTGGACAATAAGCCAAATGGCTTTCAAAAATGTTTTTCTAAATAGTGCGCGTGCCATTTCTGTGCTCTTCAGGCTGAGACTACAAAAAAGAGAGAGAAATCCCCACAAAAAGCTAACGTGTTATAATGTTAAAATTATAATATAGCACATGCTTCTATATTACTAACATACACTATATATACCAAATAAATTGTTCTAATATGTGACGTATACTTTTAAGTGCTCTGATTTTGACGGAGGTGTGCAGACTTGGAAATGAAGCCCTTTCAGGAATTCCTGCTTAGCGTTTCACACGCGTACAGGGGAGAGTCGTGGGGTTTGATTTTAAAAAGGGGAAGTGACTTTGAAAACAGCAACACAGTCAATCCGATGGAAAGGGAATGCCTTCTATACAACTTTCTCAGTTTTGTCACTACTTGCAACTGTGTTCAAGCCTTCTGCTCCACTGTCTTGACCTGCAGGGAAGTCTGTAAAACCAGGGGATTTGGGAGTGGGGAACTGAGCAAAGAAAGAGGCCAGGTCCTAAAAACCTGCAACGCCATCAGTGCGTGTACAGCTGTGTGTCCGGGTTGCACCCATATCTTATGCTTTTCTCTCTCTAGACACTGGTCTAATCTGCTGCCTATGCAAGTTTCTTTTGCCCTCCTAGGTAAAGAGACTCAGCGCAAGTGTTGTATCTATCCAGCAGTTGCTCAAATTAACCTCAAACCCTTGCTCTTTGTATCTCACTTCAGGACTTTGTATTTTTCATTGAGCTCCCCTTTTTTAATTTTTCTAAAATATATAGATCTATACGAATACAGTTTCAGAAAAGTACTCCCTTCATGGCGTATTGAAGCATTTAATCTCGCTAGAAATATCGCGGCTTCTATTTTTTAAAAGTTCCTTTACACATGTAAACACTGGTCCCTGAATCTTGTTCTCATTTTTATGTAAAACGAAACAAAATGGTGCCAGTATTTCAGAGCATTTTGAACAAGGCTTTGATGATGATGTACAACGATGGAAGCCACCATTTTTGATTGATATGCTTTTATCTATGCCACATGAAATAAACACATCAAGAATACTGCTCAATGATACTAAATGATGCACTCAGTCAGACTTCCATTCTGCATTAAAAGGCTTCTTTAATGCAGCTTAGGCTCATGGCATCTCCTCCAGTCAGCTTTTATGTTGCTTCCAAAAATGTCTTTAAAAACTCCTAATTTGTGCAGATTTGAAGTTTCTTATATATACAAGGTCACCATAGAACCTCACAGAGATGCACTATGAGTTGGCAGGCTGTTGAGAAAAGGGGCATGTCTAATGAAGGTTTTCAAAGTGACTGACTTGTTTTTTAAATTGGTGTTTAGGTTATTAAAAGAATATTTTTTTATGAAAAGGAAGCTGACTTCAGCATTAAGCCTGACTTTTTTTTTTTTATCCTTTTGTATTTTGAATTATGCCTTGAAATGTTCTGCTGTTCCAAAGTGAAAATTGCATTCAGTTGGCATTTTATATATAAATGTGTCCATTTTTTGGAATGTGTTACTTTGGGCTGGGTGTTCAACTCTTGCTCCTGACAAAGTTGTATATTCTGACTCTCCATCTGGGGTAGAGAGTTTGGTCCATACACTGCCATCTTTGAATAGGAATCTCTGCGAAAAAGCTCCACGTGGATACTTCCAATTTTGCACATCATCCTTAAAAAAAATAAAATAAAATAAAATAAAAAAAATCCAAGAAAATGCAAAAACTGGAATTTTTTGCAATATTATGAAAGATAATCTTATTTTAGCTCATTCTGTGACATGTGCAACTCTTAAGAAAGCCATACTTAATGGTTCTTTTTATTTTTAGAGTCTATATTGTGTTTTGGATTTCTGCCTTTTTTTAGGATTTCTGCATAGTAAGAGTGCTGTGTGTATGCTTTCATATATATTTATTTTTCAACGTGCTTCAAACCTGTCTACAAAAATAAAACTAAACACATGGGGGGGGAACCAAGACAGTGCTTGAAGATTGTTGATTTTTTTTTTGCTGGGAATATTCTATATTATACTGACTTTATATTAATTATTATAAACCTGTGTTTGTATTGGAGATGTGTTTAATATTTTAGGGAGGTGGGGAGATTTTAGTAATCAGAAGTCAGTGGGAGAACAGGACTGTGTGTTGTACTGATTTTCTGTAAATGTAGTTCAGGTAAATATTACCTTCTTTTCTAGTTGATCTCACAGTTTCTTGTCTGCCTGGGCATGCCCATGGGCTGCCTATCAATTATAATTACTTTGTGACAGGATTAGCGTAGACATACTTGCAAAATCAATCAGTTTCAATAAATTGGAAAATTGCTGCTACAACGTGGTCCTGGTTTGTTTGCCCATAGGAGTCTGCTTGTCTCTCTCGCCTGTGAGCTGGGCTCCGACACCAGGCTGGCCACTGCTCTCCGGACATTGCCTCCATGGACAGAGGCAGCTCAAGCTGGTCTGAGCACCCTGGCCCAGAGCTTGTGGGTGGAGGGGCCCGTGCAATGGATAAAGGAGCATGCAGACTGCCCTCCCCAGCTTCAGACCCAGGGCCCAACTAAGTGAGCTGGCTTTCTTCTCTCTGCCAGTGTTGCCAGGGGTTTTGCCTCAGTGGCTCTGAGTATAACATACCTATTTCCTTCCAGTAGTGGTGGAAAGCAGCTGGTGCCATCCCAGAGACCCCTTGCACCTGGATCCCTGTGAGCATGGGAATGCCCCTTGCCCTGCTGCCCTCCTAGGGTTAAGCCTGCTTCCCCTTCCCGCCTGTGTGGCTTGTACCTCCTTCTCCAGGCACAGCAGGGCTCAGACTGGCCCAAGCCCATGTAACCGCCCCTGCAAGGCTGCACGTGTGCTGCAGTCCTGGACTGCACCGCTGCAGCCTGGGCCTGCCTGCAGTGAAGGCCGCTGTGACTCTGGCCTGTCCTGAGTGCAGCCTGCTTGGCTGTGGGCCCCTGCTTGGAGCCAGGCAGGGCTCCGTGCCCAGGGCCAGCACCGCAGCCTGGAGCCAGCGGGAAGGGAAAGCGCTTGCTGCTGCCACCTGCTGCTGGCCCAGCTACCCGTGGGCACAGGCAGCCTCTGCTGCCACCCTGTGGGCTTGCTCTTTCCCAGCTGCTGCCTAGAGGGGAAGGGGGTGCTTTTATTTGCTGCTGGGGCTGGCGCAGTAGGGGTTCAGTGGTACCCAAGCTACTGCATGCATGGGTTGCTTTGGCCTGGGCACTGCTGGGGTGAGCGGAGGGGGCCGAAATCCAGGCTTGCTGCAAGGAGCCCTTTGCACCCCAGGCCACAGGGAGAATGGGGGAGCCCCAGCCCTGTGGGGGAGGGGGAGGTATAGCTCTGCCCTGGGCTGTGGCAGGGGTTTGTTTTCTAGGAACTGGGGCAGATGCAAGGTGACACAGCTGCTGGTCCCAGCACCACATCTGGCACCTGGAAGGCTCAAACCCCTGGCTCCAGGTGCCCCAATGGGTGCAGGCCCAGCCCCCAGGCCTGAGCTGCATAGGCCCTGGGCATGTGCCAGCAGGATCCCAGCACCCTCCACTCCATGGCCTGGACATACCACTCCTAGGAAAGAGCCTGTGTGTGCTGGAGTGTAGACATGGTCTCCACTTCCTCCAGGGAGCCCTGGTGTTTCTGCCCCCATGGCCAGTACAAGTGCACCCACCCCTCTATAAGCAGCCAGCCTCCCCTCCCCTTCACCTGCTCAGGCTAGACCCAGGAGCTACAAGCAACTTGCACTGGCCCACGCTGCTGGCAGGAAGCAGGGATGAGACATGAAGCCCTTGCAGCACTGGGACCAGAGCTACTGGCACCCAGTACCCCTGCAGAGACAGGAGTGGGGGCCTTTGCCCCAGGGAGTTGATGGCCTGACCTGTGAACAGCTGCCCCAGGACCTGACTCCTGCAGCCTGCTGTGTGCAATGTCCAGCTGTGCAGCCACAAGTCTTCTCTGTGACAGTGCCTGGCTGCAGATGCTCCAACAGCCCCCAGCTCTGAGCAACAGGCCTGGGGCTGCACAGACCTGCCCTTGCCTGGGTGCAGTCCAGCAGCTGTTGCCACCCCAGACAAGAGCCACACAAGGAAGGTGGAGATGAGCCTGGAAAAGAAGTCACTCCACTTTTATTTCTCCTCTGGCTCTGACGAGGCCCCACTCTTCCCCACGCCACCATCTGCAACATCCAGGAAGGAAATAAAAGCAGGCCCCGCTGCACCTCTGCTGCAGGTCCCAGTCAGAGCATGGGTCAATGTATTTCCAGTTAGCTGAAGTCCTGATCTTTGCAGGGGCTAGTGCTAGGAAACCCCAGCACTGCCCCCAGGTAGGGGGGGATGCCCCTGACCATTGCAGGCTCCAAGGAAGCGCTGTGGTCGCTGCTGTGCCCAAGGAATCCCCCCACACCCTGTCCCCAGGAGTTGGCCCAGCCAGGGGCAGGTGCGAGTCCTCCCCATGCACTTCCCTTCTGCTGATTGCTGGGTATGGGATAGGAGCCCCTCGTACCTGCTGTCTGCTCCTAGGGCTCCCCTTTCCCTGCAGCAACCACCAGCCCCAGCCTGTGAGGTGTCCTGGCTGCAGGGGCCTGACCCATGCCACACTCAGCCCCTTTGGAAGGGAGCGCCAGCCACACCAAGCCCCAGCTGCAAGGGACAGGTCAGGCAGTAAGGGAAAGCCTAGGTCTGACAACAACCCCAGTCTTAGAGTCCTAGAGGGACCTCAGAGAAAAACAAGAGGGGCACAAGTGACAGCAAACCAGAGCAGAGGGACCCCACTGCCCCCCTGGCTTTAGTGCAGCTGCAGAGACCCCCAATGCCCACCATGTTCGGTGCAGTCAGAGCCACACAAATGGTGGCAGATGTAGTCAAGCTCCACACACTGGCAAAGGTGACAGAGGCAGGGGCACTGCCGGGCATTTGGAGAGGGGGCAGTTCCCATGAACATGTGGCAAAGGGCATGCAGTGACGTGGCGAGCAAGTGGCACATCTTTGGCCCACGCACACCTGTACCTCCATGGGAGGCGAGCCTCCCAGCCGTCACGCACAGGCTGGCCACATACTGCACCTCAAAGCTGCCCTCCACCCAGAAACAAGAGGGAGGAGAGCACATCACGCCACGGGCACTGCCAAGAGCCCCTTCAGGCTTCCCCAGGCAAACACCAGAGTTGTCCCGGCAGCCACCGAAATGCCAGGAGTCGACTAGGAGGAGCCCGACAGACCAACAACTGCCCATCTCAGGCACAGCAGAGGGGGCTGCAATACTCCAGGGGCACTGAGCTCCCATCCTGCTGCACAGGCCTCTCCCAGGGCCCCTGAAGTGCCTAGATCCTGCTGAAAACCGTGGCCCTATTATGCCCCCTCCCCAGCTGGCATTGAAGAGACTGCGCAGCTACTGGCTGCACAAACTCCGGGGTGCAGGGTCCGGCCCTGCGGACCAAGGCTCAGGCACAGCCCCCCAAGCCGTCTCTGCCGCATGCTGGGGCAGATGCCGAGGACCTTACCTAAGAGGAGCCCAGGCCTCTTCCCCGCACAGAATACACATCACCATTGTGGGCTCCAGCAGCAAACGGACCTTCATTAATACATTCAGAGAACAGGGGCTTTCCTGCCCGGACCCCAGCAGGCGGCACAGTCGGATCAGTAACAAAACCAAGTGAATCACGGGACCCGGCGACACTACAAGAACCCAAACGACGGCTCAACAACAACAACAACAAAATATCGGGCCACACGGACATGCACGCACACATCCAGGCGTTCACAATGGACTGTTTTTGGGAAGAAGGTGGGGGTGACCTCAAACATGAGCAAACACCACTGGACTCTCCACACCCCCGCAGTCGAGACCGCTGTTGGGCAGGTTAAACCTGCGCTCGAGGTGGACGCTCTGCTTCCCGGTCACGAGTGCTGCCTGCTTAGAAAACCGGGGGGAGGGTGCTAAAAATTTGAGGGGGGGAGGGGGGAAAACACCTGGGAGAAGAGGATTCTGGGAAATGTAGTCCTTAAAAAAATATAGAAGCAAGGCAGCATGGGTTGGGAGAGGAAGGGATTGGGCTTTTGGCCCTCCCTCAGTCTCTCTGGCAGGTCCTGGGGCAAGCATTTAAAATCCGGCTGGGCAATAGATTTTATTTAAAAAAAAAAAAAAAAAAAAAAAAAAAAAA